ACGAAAACGCTCTTCCACCCGTTGCACATATAATGCTGTTCAGGTTGAAGTATTTGAGGTACAAAACACTCCGTTTGCTCAATGAACTTTTGCCTAACTAACTATCACGTCTATCGAGCATCTCAAAAACAACTAGATGTAGAAATCATTGGTGATGAAGTCGTTGCAAAAAAATTTCTTTAAAAGTTCAACTCTACCAGAACTTTAGAACTCTATACTATCGGAATGGATATGTATTGATTTCAATGTGTATAGGCTTCATATACTTTTGAGTGGCAAACACAGAAGTAGTAGAGACAATCTAGGAACACATTGCTCAACAAGCAGTCCTTCTATAGACAACTGTTTTGAATGCACCGATTATACTACTGTACTACAGCGCACCAAATCAAGTCTCATGAATGGTTTCCTATTTTATCGAATAGATGGCTCTAAGTGGTGAGCTTCATTCAACTAAAACAGAGGAATGTCAGTTTGTACTTTTGCAGTCAGGAACGGTCTCACGGTTCCAGGTAAAATAGTCCAAAAACAGTTTTTCTGAGGAACGAAATATAGAACATTTATCAGCCGATAATCAATAAGTACACTGAGTCAGCAAATTAAAAGTTATCAAGTAAAACATCTTGGTAGCAATAGAATATATTTGGAAATTTGTCCAGCCTTCTCCTCCCCCAAAGGTAAGGAGTGAAAATCAGAAATCAGCTCATGTCAGATTCTAGGTATTAAGAAGACGAGAAATCTTTGAATAGCGATCATCAGAGAGCGGGCTGATTGACATACTCAGACATAGCTTTGACGAAAACGTATTTAGTTCAGAAATTTTAAACACACTTAATCATTGCTTAGCAGTGCAAGCTGAGTCTGGTGAACGACGAGATAACCATCCTGAATAGCACCACATAAAAAGTGCTTGTGTTATTCTAGAATCTCATATACACCACTTTTACTACGACATCCGCTCGTCCCATCCCATTTATTTTTAATTCCACCCACTTTTTTCAACGATATCACATGATTGTTGACATCTGGGATCGTTTAATGATTTTTGCTTCCTTATTAAGTCCAGTTCGCTTGTGTTTGCATAGAACATTATTAAATCAAGAGCTTTCCCAAATTTTTTTCTTACTAGTGATGATAGCTGCCTAGATGTCCAATGTCCTGGCGTAACCAGTCGCCTCAAGAATTTGATCCACATGGAGGCCGAAACGCTTTTCGCAACGGTGACAGTCTCCAGTCTAATTCTGGTGAGTGGTTCTGTACTTCTGGATATTTTACAGTGAATCACAATAAAAGTTCGGGATAAGGAACGGAAAATGAAAGCTAAATAATTGTTTTCTTAATAGTATAATTTTATCTATGGAAAAGAGTGTTTCTGAGTTTACGGAATTGGATCGATCTTGTCCTCCCTAGTACTTTTACTAGTAATTGCGTTTTCAGAATAGTTCAGACGAACTGAGAACTATGAAAATTCTGCGTTCAGAACGTCATTATTCACTATTATGTGAAATGGCTACGAAACTGTAGCTCAGGATAGGTGTGGAGGAAATCGTAGGCCTCCAAACGACAACTCTAGCGATAGAAGGGTCCCGTTTATCCTACCCTTCATCTCAAATGATATAAGTACAGCTATAAAACGCTGCTTAAGAAGGGCGGGCTTAGAGAATTCGGTGAGCGTAGTTGAAATACCACCGAGTAATCTTAAGCGCCAGCTAGTTCGTAACCGCCTATATGACCGTCTATGTGCAACTCAAAATTGCATAATTTGCCCCAGTGGTAGAGACGGTGATTGCATGAGCTCGGGTATAGTTTATCTGATCTCCTGTAAGACGTGTGGTGACGAATACATTGGCGAAACGGGTAGACCCCTCTGTGTCCGCATGAAAGAACACCTAGCCGGCAAAAATAGACCAAATACCCCGCTAGGCACGCATAGGACCCAGAGACAACGGGGACGACTTTGAAGTATGTGTCACGATCCTCGCACGCGAATCGAGAACACAGGCGCGAAAAACCCTCGAGGCACTCTGGATTAATTCCAGAAATCCGAAAATGAACCGCAGGGAAGAATGCCTCATTATCACGCGTGATATAGGGCAGTATATAAAACTGCTTTTCTGATGTGAGGGGCACATTATACTTCCACGTGATTTCTGTGCGGTTGGTCTCTACGTGACATAGTTAGTGGAGACCTCATAGAAAGCGGTGAGTGTGCAAAGCTGTGTTCAAAGTGATTGANAACTCAAAATTGCATAATTTGCCCCAGTGGTAGAGACGGTGATTGCATGAGCTCGGGTATAGTTTATCTGATCTCCTGTAAGACGTGTGGTGACGAATACATTGGCGAAACGGGTAGACCCCTCTGTGTCCGCATGAAAGAACACCTAGCCGGCAAAAATAGACCAAATACCCCGCTAGGCACGCATAGGACCCAGAGACAACGGGGACGACTTTGAAGTATGTGTCACGATCCTCGCACGCGAATCGAGAACACAGGCGCGAAAAACCCTCGAGGCACTCTGGATTAATTCCAGAAATCCGAAAATGAACCGCAGGGAAGAATGCCTCATTATCACGCGTGATATAGGGCAGTATATAAAACTGCTTTTCTGATGTGAGGGGCACATTATACTTCCACGTGATTTCTGTGCGGTTGGTCTCTACGTGACATAGTTAGTGGAGACCTCATAGAAAGCGGTGAGTGTGCAAAGCTGTGTTCAAAGTGATTGAAATCTTGGTTTGGGGTTTCTTTGTTTGGTTATGGAGGCGTCTGGCCGAGTGAGTTGCTATCAACTTGACCTTTCCAGGCTCTGAAGAAGGCGAAATTCGCCGAAACGTCAGCTTAATCGTGAACAAAGAACAATAACACCTCGCGTTTGCTCAAAAAAATACGAACAAGTGAAATAATATTTAACCAGAAAATGTTAAGCTTCTTACCTACTACTCATTCCTTCTTTCACAACAAAGTATGATGTGAAATGCAACCACTATGATACTGAGATATTTGCAAAACTTGTATCCCAGGCCGGATTGGAACCCGTGATTATCCTTCCCGGGAGCTCACATGTTTTTCACTGCACCTCCGAGGCACTTGCCTTGCTTCCGACAAAGAATAAAATAGTGGGAAACAGTAGTTAAATACTTGAAGTAAAAGTTAACATTATGATTTCGATCACAGCCTTAGCTTAACAGAGTTCGATGCCGATTTGTGCTTCCCAGATCGTTCTCGCTGATGATTGATTGTGATGGTACCATAAGCGTAAAAACTAACTCATAGAAAGGCAAAGCAAGGGAAAAGGTGAGCGCATGTTCGAATCTAGCACGAGGCGCAAGTTTTTCAAATGCAACCCGAGCATATTGCGACGCATCAAAATATGGTGCAGAAATAAGGGAAAGGAGGAAAATTAAAAACAATTAGCAAAACTGTAGCGATAACCTGGCGGATTACTCGATATAGGTGTCGACTTTAATCAATAGTGATCTAAGTTGTCCGTGTTCATAATGGCATAATAGTTCAAGGTTTTTCAGTAGAAAAATCTGATCTCCTGGTATTGTGTGCTATCGACTTAAGGTAGAAAACGAAATATTAGCATTTTTGAGCGCACACGAGAAAATCGTTACCCCTTCAATATATGTTTGGTCATTAGAGCTCTGAGCAAACCATAAATGGAAAATTGATACTTTGTTTGTCTGTGGTGAATTCGCTTCCTACAACCCAGAAAAATGTGATAAGGATTTGCAAACACTTAGAATGCCCATTCCGCAATTTGAAGAAGAATTAACTCGACCAACATCTAATGATGTTCAAAAAAGATAAAAGAGACCTCAGGCAGAAGCAGAAGTTGTGTGCAGATCGGAGTTTCTTGATGGTTTATTGGTTCGATGAAGCAAATCAAATGCAAGAAGTGCTGGGATCTTCGCAGAATATGATTTTGGGTCGTAGAATAGTGTCGAGCACTTTTCGTCGAGTGCTCGACACAAAAACGTCGAGCACTTTTCTTGGAGCACCTAATGCTTCGGTTTGTAAGACCTCCGCTTCGTCCATGGAGGCGCGCGCTTATTGAATTCCATTGCTTTCGGGTGTTTTCGTAGGCCAACACCGTTTATTCTATTCACATATTCTAGAACTTATCTGGTCACCTCTTTTTCGTTGACTGCCTTTCTTCTCGGTTCACTTTCTTCTCGGAGGAGATTCGTCTATCTGCCACACACTAGCACAACCTTTAAAAGTCAGCAGAACAGTATTCGAAATTTTCCACTCATAAGGAGAAGCAGAAAGCTCATTGTATACTGCATCCTTCTTCATGCTTTGCGCTATCGCCTTCTTTATCACTACGTTCGTTATACTATGGCCACTTTCACTTTCTTTATCTGAAATTTATTAACATTTTTGCTTATAAAGGATAAAAGGATAAAGCTGTCGCCGTTGGTCAATCCTTGAGGGAAGCGCTATGCATTCGGCCTTATTAAGCATCGTTGGAGGTGATTAAATGCATATCTGGCCTTTACAATGACTCGTGGTGGCCTATCGATGTATCGTGCCAGTGCTGTTATCCTCGCTTGCAACTCTGGTACCAATTTGTTGACTCGGGAGGGATAGAGGGCTTGGGGGCCATGGGAGCGGGATCGATTCCACGTGTGTGTTGTAGGGCGCCTCCGACCACTGCGCCACACGCTCTCTTATCCTTGCCCATACTAAGTAGAATACTAAAAGGAAGTAACGAACACGGTGGTTTTGCTGCTTCCGCACTTTGCACACAAAATATGCATTTGTTAGGTACAGCTTTAGTCTTTACATAATCCCCTGACGGTCATCCACATTATTTATCCATCCTTCATCATCTCCATTCTCGTCATCGACACTTTTTGGATGATCGCTTACAGTTTTAGCATTACATCGATCCCTAGGGTGCTCGGCCTAAATATAGTACGCCGTTGTGCCTTTAATTCATTAGAAAACCAGAATATTCGTGAGTTTAGAGTGTGTCGCCTCATTTCGGGCGATGCGTTCATTCACTGAGTCAATCGAGTGCGATCTACCGCCTGCTCCCGAGTTGCCTCCTCAACTTGACATCGACCGACTCTCAATGAAGACCAGTGACACTAACGAAACCATCATCGAGGTGGTACGTCTCATGCCTCCAATAATCGCTTATTCTTTCGATAATTCAGAATATTATTACTCGGAATATTACATAAAGAAGGATCGCTTCAGTTGCCTGCTGCATACGGCTTTGCGGCGCAGATTACTAGATTCTGATAGATTACAGAGATTAAATGGCGCAGTTTATGAAATAAATGGGTTACTTTATTTCACATCTTTACCAGAAAAAGAAGCAAATGTGAATTTTCTGTTTTTGAAAACCTGCAATGTGGAAGGCGGTGCCATTGTTAGCAAAATATGATCCTCTGCAGTATACCCTATCTTCCGCTCTTCCAATTCTTAGCGGAATCGGTTTCCATGCAATATTTCTAGATATTGCCATAAAGACCTTTAATCCATACATTTGTCTGAAGAACATCTCAACGCCGTTAGTAGTCTTGTGATCTGAAAACCATATAAAAAGGTCGGCACACTTTTGTTCATAGAGGTCAAATCTTTTTTCGTAGGTGAAACCCACAACTGCAACTGTCGATCCATCACTGGGGGAAACACAAAAGTATAAAATGTCTGTCCCAGGTCCAGGGCACTCAGAACAGGTAATATTTTTTTTACTGCAAATTCATTTTGATGACTTTTACCAGAGTGGAATTTATGGATACTCATGGTTGCTCTTCAGGAACACGAACTACATAAAAGCCTTTTGAACGATGACAATGATCTCGATTCGGAAGTTGAAAGCACGTGTTCTGCAGGTAACAGATAGTTTGCATCTTTCGGAAGCTTTAAATCAAAGTCAACATTTCAGTTCAGCTTGACAGGCCGGTAGGAGTTCCGTCAGCATTTACAAAATATGTACAGGTGCTGTTGCATATTCGTATTGTGGTCAATTCGCACATAGAAGATATGGTTACTTAGCAACTCAACGCGACCATATGACTTCCAAGTTCATTCATTGCTCACCTCATCCCCTTAATGCAGTTCGTTATCCCGCACAAGTAGTCGTATATAAAACCTAGTAGAGAACTGGAATAATTCGAATAAAATTTAGAAGTCTCATATCGGACTATAGATTTCGAATATCTCAAAATTGCTTTGGTTAAGTCATCGATGCACTGCGAAAATTTGTCCAATTGTGCAGTGCTCAACTAACCAACAAAAAGTGAAAATTCAAAGCCGATTAGATAATGCTTTTGTTTTATTTATTATTATTATTATCATTATTATTCCCGTCATCATATCTACTTCGCGGATTCCAGCACTTCTTGCATTTAATTTGTTGTTCCGGCTACTACTGCTTGAAGATTTCTTCATCTTCTTATGAATGTCGTATAATGCTGTTCGAGTCAATTCTCCTTGCACTCTTGGACGTAGGGAAGATGCCGAACTAGCACTTTCCTTCTTGATGGGCTGTTTTAATAGCCACTCCACTAACCTCTGTACCACACCTCAACTGACGCATATCTACCAAGGTTAAAAAAAGCTAGATAGACCGTCAAACTGTAACAAACTGTTCATCTGCAGAATTAAAATATTTGCGCAAAACACAATCATAGGAGTGCTGAGATATGAGAAAAACTCGCTACCTTATTTGCGCTTTGAACCCGCGATTACCTTTACCGGGGGCTCACATGTTATCCACTGCACTAACCGATCTTCTTGATTTGCCTTTTACTCTGCCAGTTTTCAACCCTAACAGTGCTGTCACCAATTGAAATTATATAAAATAATCTGATGATATCCTATGCCGCTAGCTTACGATGATGCGATTATGTTGATATGATTTACTCATATCTCTCGTACCTGTACATCACGTAATACCCTGCCATGAAAAAAGAATAGGCGGTAAAACTATTCATATTTGCACAAAAAATATTTACCACCCGAAATTTGCAGCACTGCATAAACTTTGTAGCTATATTGAAGCGTGTGAGATAGACACTTTACATTTATTGTCTACTGTTTTTTTTTCATGGCAATGTGAAATACAACTAAAATGATGCTGAGGTATTTGCAACACTCCGGACCACAGTTGTCTACTGTCGGGTTGGAAGCCGCTATTACCCTTTTCGAGGTATCAGGCCTTCACCACCACACCATGAGGGCCCTTCGTTTCACCTTTCCCTCAGCCGTGTTTTAACCTTTAGATGCTATTAGCAATCATCTATCATCGGGATTAATCTGGGACATATAGGATATTTATCTATGCAGATATGTAAAACTCTCGGAATGAATAAATAGCTGGTCGTTATAGGATCCAGAGCACGCTGCACTGAGGAGGCGATATAGTAACTCGACTGCGCAACGACCACGTCCAACCACGCCCACACAGTCATGTGCTCTTGAACGATTTGCTTTCAGTGCACCCTCTGATGGTATGGTTTTCTTACATGATACAAAAAAATTCTTTTTGTATCATCTAGATGACTTCGCTAGGAAAAAGAATGGGTTAAAAAAAGAATATCAAAAATAAGTGACAACGAAAATTAGCAAAGGAGAACCAAGACACCAAATTTATTTGTCTTGAGCTTCTTCTACACGATGGTTAATTGACGAAATAATTGCTGTGAGTTGGAGACTGCACAACAGCAAGAAAAAAACTCCCATGCATCCATATGATTCTAGCGGTTTTTCTCACGCACTCATTTCCCTGGGCTGACAAGATACACACGTTAAATGCTATAAAACTGATATCAACATTAGGCAGCACAAACAAGGTAATTATGCAAGAAATGGAAAAATTCTGAAATGGCTTACAACTAAGATAGAGAAAATAAAACATTATTCTGCCCGTGGGGATAAGGGAAATTCTCTATGAAGAATAAACGCCCTTCACGCAGGTGTGCTGGAGACGAAAGAAGAGGAGAAGATCAAGGTGACCATTCCGCCGAAGGAACGAGCAGGTGCTGTAGCCTGGCGCTGTGGCTTCCAAAGTTATTTGTTTGTTCTTGACGGCAACGCTTGCGTTTTCCAGAATCCCGTCGACGGAAATCTGAAATGTCGTACTCGGAATTTTATGAAAACATTTCTTCTCAGATCCCACTACAGGTTCGACTTAATATTTTCCTTCTCTTCCAATTTCTAGTTGACAGTGAGCTGATAAGCGGATTGCAAAGCGGTTTTTTTTTGTAAGTAGTAGACACTGCATCTCTTCTGAAAGTCAAAATTATGTTCCGGTGCTATAATTATTGTTATTATATTGCTACCATCATTGTTGTTATTATACTTATTTATATCTTTAACTTTAACAGCTACGAGCGCGTGTGGCGCAGTAGTCGGAGGCGTCCTGCAGTACACACGTGGAATCGATCCTCACGCCCATGGCCCACCAGGCTTTCAATCCCTCAGGGGTCGGCAAATTGGTACCAGAATTGTCTGGGAGGATAACACCACTGGCTCCATACATCGGTAGTCAACCGCGAATCATTGCAAATGATATGCATTCAATTACCTCGAAACAATGCTTAATGAAGTCGAATACATGGCGCATCCCACAAGGATTGATCAACGCCGAGAGCTTTACTCTTTATTATCCTTTAACTTTCACAGCTGAGCAGCTGAGTAGTTCAACCTCGTGAATGAGTTTATGGATACGGAAAAAACTTATTCCTATGAAAAGTCAAGTGGTCAAGAAGAAAAACGGAAACCTCTCGTTATTGCTTTCAATAAATAAGCCCCATATCTACTCCAAGAGAATGCGACAAGAAATCTGTAAGTGTACCGAACACACAACGACATGAAGTGACACGCTGCTTTTGTCGTCCTCTTAACGAGAGCAGTAAGGATTAACGAATTCTTCTTCTTACCTCTAAAGAGTTTCCAACAGAGCGGTATTTGATAAAACGATCATGGAAAAAAATTTAAAAAGTTGTATAGTGCAGTGGTTAGAGGTACCCTCCAGCACACACGGGTCTCTCGTTCGAGCAAGCGCCTTAGGCTCCCCAAGTATTGCAGTTGCTAGTCGAAAATAGGCCTTCGAGTCAGTTCTCGGCACCGAATAATCACTAGCTTATAGCAGAATGCTCGACTTCGTGAGAAAATGCCACGCGAGACTTTTCGTAGTTGTCACAAGGCAATACCTCAAACTTGGGTAATTAAACCGTTTATATACTTAAATGCAACATCAATACAACACTGATATCGACGGAGAACTACTGACAGACAAATAAGGCAAGTTCAAGGCTATGACGTGCTGTAGCTACTACTAATGCGAGGTTTACGAAGGCATAAGAGTATTGTAAATAATACTATTGCAACATTAGTACTATGATAACAGCAACTTGGTAACAATGACAAGTAAGAGGATACGAACGATGGCGCCCACACTGGCGCATACAGTGGCCCAGATGCCGAGGGCTAGAACAACAGAGGAGTGAGATGCAGACGAGCCCTGCATTAGGTTAAGCTAGGGATCGTATGTAGAGCGGCTGGCTGCACTTGCACATTAATCGATGGGGATAGCAAGTTACCTAAGCATCGATGGTGGAAGTGACTACGAACGAGATGGGACATCTGCGGAACACAGGCGGCTGCTCTTGGATAACGATATGTCTGCAACGTGAAGTTTAAGCATAGGTGGGTGCCAACATTGCTTAAGAGATTATAGGCCAGAAAGATAACAACTGAGAAATGATAAGCTTATAGCGGCTTAACAAATACGCAACATAAGTTGGTCGGCTAGCGGCCTTGTACACATGGCGTACCGTGTGGGAGGAAAGGTACGTGCCACCGATGGCGTTTCAGACAGAACGCATTGAGGATAGCCGCTGCTACTGACAACACGCCGCAGACCAATTGATAAACAATGGACATTGACATGAGGATGAGGATCAGGATGATGATGAGGGTACACTGGGCTGATGGAAAGCGTGACGTAGTCACGGTGATGCTAAATTAATGTACAATTCGCAACTGTCATTTAACAATGGTATTATGAAGTTAATGTACAATAATGACTATGTGCTGTATGACTTAACAACTACGATAACCTACATTGGTGGCACACGAGGTCAATACGGTACGGATCTAAAAAGCCGACGAACCCTGACAGGGGCGAACCTGGATAACAATTAACGAGGCTATTTATATGCTTTTAGAGAAGGCGGTATTTGGCACAAGTCCAACATCTTTACCGAAAACATTCGTCGACTACCGTCTCCATACCTTGTACGCGTGATGACTTTTGGACAGTAATAACAAACAATGAGTTCAAATTGCAAAAATAGGTTTGCATAACAAGACTGTTTACAGCGATCGAAGTTGCTAAGGATGGGATCGAAATATTTACGTACTACGACATTTGCTAGGCAACTTGAGAAACAGTGGATATGATCCTTAATACTGAAACATACAGTAGTAGAAGGATACAAATATATATAGAAAGAAATAGAAACTATTCTAGGAATAGTTGCTATACCAAGCATTCTATTCCTCCCAGATTGAAAAACCGGTACAAGACGTCTCCAGGAGCATAGCTGCGTCAACTTGATACATCGGTACACCACCGCAAATTATTGTGTAGGCCGATATGCATTCAATCACCACTAGCTATGTTAGATTGCATAACGTATCCTTCAGAGATCAACGTTAGATGCTTTCTCCTTCACTTTTAAGTTTTGGATGGTTTTTGCTGTAAATAAAGAAAATTGATTCGAGAAGATGGCTCACTGAGGAAGATCTGGCTCGACACGAAGGCGAAGCTGCAACGTCGAGACGAACAACAATCATGGACCATCGACTCGGATCATCGGCTCTGAGGAAGACGAAGACGTCGAAACGTTAGCCGAAAATAAATATATTTACCAACCTCGTGCAAGCTTATCAAGAAAGAATGCGTAAAGAAAATTGAGTTCCGCAGTCACCCTTTCGGTGACTTTTCGTACGTTAACATACGTTGTTCAAAGCCGGACACTACGTTA